TTACTGTGATAGATGAATTCAAACAGACATTTTTCTCTGTGGATCAAACAGTTTTCTATCCATCTCTACATCCATGCATCCATACAACACATCTTGTGTTTATTGAGGGCCTCTTGGTTGCAAAGTATATGGTTCTGACCTTTTGACATTCTTATCTGACTTTAACATCCTTAGAGAGATGACTCATGGGGAAAGAGTCTCCCCAATTCAGATTCCTTATAGACAAAGTTTTGGCAGAACCATTTCCCCACATCACACATATAGGAAGTGGCAGAGCTGGGACCGGAACTCAGATTTTCTGTCTCCTATTCCAGTGAACTTTATAGTGTAACATGCTGTTTCCCTAAAACCTTCAAGGTTTCCATTTTTAAATCTCAGGAGTAACTTTAAATCTAAGATAAAATATGCTGCATTCACTGTCCAATTCCTTACCATATGTATCTGGCTTTACCTGATCTTTAGATATTAAAACTGATTCCCAGATAGAGACTGTGTGGTGTAATGGTTGGAGTGTTGCACTTGAAATGAGGAATGGCTCAGTTGAAATCCTGCCTCAGACACGATTTACTAGTTACTTAACCTGTCTCATCCTCATTTCTCATCTGTAAAAAGGAGATAATGATGGCACCTCTGTCATGGCATTGTTGTGAGGATCAAATGAGATAACATAAAGAACCTATTAAACAAAGTTCTATCTAGATGTTAGCTTTCATTATTATAGTTTAATGGTTCTAAATTATTATTAGTGGTGCATGCCTGTACTCCATGCTAAGGGGAAGGTTAATGCTGGTGAATTTCTTGAACTTAAGAATTCTATCCTTCAGCAGGCTAGGTTAATCAAGTGTCAGAACAAACTTCAACAGAAACTATAGGCCACCAGATTTCCTAGGAAAAGGAGAACCTGGAGCAGATTATCTCCAAACCTGATCAAAGAGGAATCAGGGTCCCTGAGTAACCTCTGCACTTCTAACTTGAGAGAGATGGGGAGACCATAGTCATTTATCATTAATATCTATCTCATTAGTATATAATTAATAATTAATATATTTCATCTAGGATGTGTTGTTAGGAATTTTGACTAGTCTATAAAAAGGTCAGGGTCTCTTGCTGATGCCCTAGAACAGCATGGCATGCTGATGCTGGATTGCTCAGAGGTCACAGAGGATAGAATTCTTGGAAAATTAGACCTCTATGAAGGACTATTAGGTTTCAGAGTGTTGTCTCTTATGATGAGTCAGAAGCAAAGAACTTTTAGAGAGAGCAGAATTTTCTACTTCAGGACCCCTTGTGCTTTGCAATTTATACCTGGGACAGGGCAAAACAGTTTGGCCATCATTTAGCTGCAACTAGCTAACAGAAACAATTCAGGACCTGTTATCCCCTAGCTCCTTTCTACCAAATGGAAGTCTCTGTGGAATGAAGATTTTTGGTAACAAAAGAAGGAAATAATATTATAAATTGTCACAAACCTAAGGAGTTATCATTTCGCCCAGGGAAGCAGAAAAAATATTAATTCAAATTACTTTTTATTCTGAGAAAATGGATGGGTAGATCAATTTTATTGTTGGTCAATTTTTGTATTTTGTAACAAATGTTTCATAGGGGTATCATATTTTTTAAAAACTAATGTTGTTATAGGAATCTCTGCTGTTCATTGAAATAAAAGGTTAGCCATCACTGTGCTACACATGAGCTTAAAATGATACTGGCATCAACTGGTCTAGTATTCACTTCACACTTAGTTAAGGTACCCAGTGTGTGGAACCATTGCTTCAGTTGTATGCTAGGGGGCGCTGTTCAGCTGGTGATGATGCCAAGCTCTGGGGTCTGAGATCCAGACCACAAAAGTTATTCCAGATGTCTTCTCACTCCTAAGCAGACGTCTACTGAAAACAGATTTGAACAATGCTGGTGAGATTATACTGGGAAATGTATCTGGATGAGTCTTTCCTATGGGGAAGACATACACATACATACACACACACTGAAAAATGTTAGGCTATCAATTTGACAGCTTTCTGAAATATACTAAATCCCCTGAAGGGAAAAAAAATACCTTAAAAGTTGCTACACATTTTAGAAAAGTGAGGTTTAGAAAACGAGTTATTTCATTTCTCATCAGATATAGCCACTGAAAAATTCAACTCTCTAGCACCTGGTGTGCATGCTGGCAAGCTGTGCTTTCTTTAACTTGTTTAACAGAGGTGGGGAAATGCATGCAGCAGCCAGCTAGCTGGCCTCTCAGCACAGGTGCCTCCAGTAACACAAAGATCAGTGTTCTGTAGGTTGAATTCAATTTCAAGAGAAACAAACTACTCAAAACCAATTTCCTCACCCAGTGCCTGGTTTCTCAGTCTCTGCTCCTTTACCTTTCCAAAAGTGCGGTTAGATTAACTATTTATTCTCTACTTAAATGCAAGCACCATCTCCATCTCTTCCATTAAAGAGGACTCTATGTTGTGATCTTGTCATTTGTGTTGTTATTGATGACCTAGTATATTTTGAACTCTGAATGATTTTTCTTCATGGAGTTTGTTTCTTTCAACTTAAAAAAAATAAACTTAAAAAAATCACCTATGAAATATAGATCTTTATTGAGTCCTGCTGTGTGTGGTGGTCAGGAGAGGAGAGGTTAAAAAGAAATATACTGTAGATCTTCCTCCTTCAAGATACATACAATAAGAATAACTGACATTTAATATGTTGCATTTTATGGCTTACAAAACACTTTCCATATATTTTCTTCCTTGCTACCTTACAACAGCATTGATAAAGTAAGTACTAAAGATGTTATCGGCATCTTACAGATGAGGAAACCTAGCCTGAGAGAAGTAAGATGACTTACTCAGGCTCATACAACTAGTACCTGGCAGGAGTCAAATTGGAACTAAGATATGCCTTGTCTTCAGGCCCAAAACATTGCTATTCCCAAACTATATTGCTTTAAAATATGATTAGGAAGAGATTTATATGGAAGAAGTAACTGAAGATCACTTCTCTGGAGAAATACATGAAAAAGGGCAAATAAATGGATTACCAACTTGACTAGAACAGTGCATAGTGTCGTATGGGATCATCTTGGAAGACTTCCTGGAAGAAGTGAATTTTTAATTGCATTTTGAAGGAGAAAAAGGATATGGATTGAGGGAGAGGAGATGCACAGAGGGCTCTATCAGACAAAGGGGCAGCACATGCAAACAGAGATGAAAGAAGTAAATCGCACTCTGGGAAAGCAAACAGAATGGCGATCTTTATTATAAACAGTAGTAGAACTATAAAAAAATGTTGCCTCATTTCTTGTAATGATTGAAAGATTAACATTTGCAGGAAGCATGAAACACTCTACTTTACAATATACTTCTTAAATCTGGACTGCTGAGAGTCCCAGTCACATAGATTATCCAAAAGATGAAGAGCATAATTCCTTTTCTGTCTATCACAAATGACTTCCTCTCTTCTAATTCAGGATGAGTTTTGTTCTTAAAAGACAAATGAATAATTGTATAGATAGAAGACTAAGTATACTCACTGCATGGATTCCTATGTACCATCTAGTGTTCTTTGTTCTAAACTGAACAAACTTTCCTTGGACAAATCATACTGGTTTTAAAGTTTTTCAAAGGTCCTTTCAGAAATCAAATTCCACAAACCCTATTTATCCCTTACATTTTTACAACTACTGTCTCCAAGTCAAACCAGGGGTGCTGAAACAGATATCCCACTGTTTGCTCAAAAGAGGGGCATATTTTCCCTGGATAGCGTCAACTGTGAGAAATAGCTGGATCAAAACAAAGAAATATTTCAATGATGGAGAGCAAAGGTGACTTCCTGTTTTGTTTTGGGCTTTGTTTTCTTCCCTTCTCAATGAGGTCTGTGTTTTTCTGATGATTTTAAACTTCTCTCGCTCAGTGATTTCCCATTGAAAGAGGATGATGCGGGTGCCTCCGCAGGTCACTTCATTACAATGTGCCCTGAAAAAGGAAGGGGAGTGGGGGTGGAGGAGAGGGAGGTTACATTAGTGGGAAGAAGCAGACTGTGAGGAGATCTGCTTTCTATTTTCTCCTCTAGATTGAATTCATCTGGGTGGAGGGGGGGGGGGGGGGGGGGGAGAGGAGGGGGGGGGGTTTTTTTTTTTTTTTTCTCCTCTGGTTGGAATTCGTCGGGGGGGGGGGGGGGGGGGGAGGAGGTTAGTGGAGGGAAGGGCTTTTTTTTTTTTTTCTTCCACCATGGTGCAATTTTCCCATAGATTTCTTTAAAGGGTTAGGGGAAGGAGGTAGGCAGAAGCATTTGATAATAACAGCCATTTTATTTGAAAGAGTAAAATCAGAAGCAATTAAGCAAAATTCCCAAGTATTTTGGTGAAACTGCCTGGTTTCTTTCACCGGTACTTGGAAGGCAAAGAGAAGTTATAATTACATATTGCAAATTGGAATCAGTGGGAAAGCTGCTCCTTGTGTCCTGGGTAATATCTTTACGGGTAGGATTTTCTTGCTGCTGTATCTTGCAGAGTAACCGCTCCCCATCCCAATCGCTCATTTAAAATGATGCTTCGGACTGCTAGGTTTACGTTCAAACTGCCACACAGTCGCACCACTGCTATCTAAAGTTGTCTACTACCTTCGACTTTTAAAATGACTCTTCAGTAGCTGTTTTTCTTTTGGCTTTTTTTTTTTTGCCACAAGTTTTACACTCTACAGAAACAGTGATTAAAGAAAGAGAGTGTGGGTCTGTAGCTTTCCAAAGGACTAAGCAGAAGGAAGGGGTTGAGGGTGTCATAGGAACTGAGTCAACGCTGCCTCAGGTCATCTCATCTGCCTAGCTCTTTAGTTTCCCCTCCCCCATCCCTATCTGCATCCCCCTCTCACTAACGTCCCCCATCACCTTCTCTTCCCTCCCCCTCTTTTCTGAGAAGAGGAGAAGGCTGGGGAGGGCTGGGACTCCGGCAGGAGGAGGAGCTCCCTCTTTGGCCATGAGGTGCGAACGTGAAAAGGAGCTGGGTTGGAAGCACAGACCTCATTTCAAAGCTGGTCCTGTACCTCCTAGCAGCCACAACACTACTCAGAAATTCAGTGCCTGCGCACTCTCTCCCTCAACCACTAAACTTCAAGACTTACAAACTCTTACTCAATTCTTTCCCCCTATTCTCTTTGGGAATAGGGTATTTTCTCCCCACTTTTCTTTTCTCCCCTCCCCCATCCCCATTTCTCCCATCCCCATTTCTCCCCTCCCCCACCTTCTTGCTTTCCCCCCTTTCCTCCTCTTTTCTCTCTTTGGAGAATTTCATGTTCTTTTAGCTGCTTTCTGGGATACAGAGGACCTGTACCTCCCACCACAAACAGCTGAATTCCACTTTTGTGTTTGTTTTTTCTTCTTGATTTTCTTCTGATTTATCTGGGAAGTCTGATGTTTCTGCCTGAGAGAAGGGAAATGAATACATGCTGGTGAGAACTGAGAGCAGCAGCAGCAGCCGCCCCAGCAGTGACTTCTGTGAAAAGCCGGTAGGACATTAGTAGGGGAATCTGATCCAAGAAAGGCTGGAAGACTGCTCAGAGGGAAGAAACTCCTCTGATCATTGAGAAGAGAGAAAAGAAGAGGCAAAGAGTTTCACCGCCTCCTTTAGCTTTTCTAGTCTCTCTGTCCTATTCTACCGGGATTATGGTTGACTGCAGCTCTGGAGAGATGCTGCTACTACTTCTGTTTGCCATGGCAGGCATCTTCCTTAGCCAGGTGCCGGGAGTGCAGAGTGCAGCCTGTGAACCTGTGCGTATTCCCCTGTGCAAGTCCCTACCCTGGAACATGACGAAGATGCCCAACCACCTGCACCATAGCACCCAGGCGAATGCCATCTTGGCCATCGAACAATTTGAAGGCCTGCTGGGAACCCGATGCAGCCCAGACCTGCTCTTCTTCCTCTGTGCCATGTATGCGCCTATCTGTACTATTGACTTCCAGCATGAGCCCATCAAGCCTTGCAAGTCTGTGTGTGAGAGAGCTCGGCAGGGGTGTGAGCCCGTCCTCATCAAATACCGCCACTCGTGGCCAGAGAGCTTGGCCTGTGAAGAACTGCCGGTCTATGATAGAGGTGTCTGCATCTCTCCTGAGGCCATAGTCACTGCTGATGGAGCTGGTGAGTGCTGGATCTGTCTCTACTCCTTCTAAATAACCCTTCCCCTTCTTGGATCCTATTCTACTTCTAGTCCTGGTTCCTTGCCTTCTCACTTTACCTTTCCTCTTTTGATCTAATCTCCTATTTCAGGACAATATTCACACCCTTAATCATTTCTGCACCCAGCAAGAATCCCTCCTAATCTTGATTCATTACCCTTCCAAACTGATGCCCTCTGATATATGATCTCTCATTCCTTTAATACTCCATTCATTCCTTTCATATTAGATTTCTAATGGACAGTTAAGTAACCCCTCTCTTTCTACCTCTCATGAATTCAAAGGAACAGCATTTTACCTATACCAGCAAGCTTCTTCTTTGACTAGGCTGCATTTCTCTTAACATTTCTTTTGGCCTTCTTAATCTTTTACAGCAAAGCCTTCTTCTCAGTTTTCTGGGTAACTTCACTTATTCACTTTCTGTCTCTTTAGGCAACATCGAGTTCTAGATAGCATTATGGGTTTGGAGTTAGGAGATCCTAGGTTCCAATCTACCTCTGATACTTACTGGCTGTGTAGTGTTGGTACGTCTCTGTGTTCCTCAAGCAATTCCATAGGACCCAGCTATTAAGTAAGAACTGAGTTGTGATCTGGGTTCGTCAATAAAGTTCCCAACACAGGCTAAAATATAGACTCTCACATACCTAGTTTTGAGAGAAAGCACCTTATTTTTAACTTTCTGTTGTGATGTTTGGGTAAAACAGAGAACTGGGCTCTTTTCCCCTTGCAGCCACTTTTTATGTAACCTTGCTACAATGCATAGATTGTAACTACAGTGTACTGGGCAAATTCTAATTTGGGCAACTGTCTTTACCTTAAATTCCCTCTCTAGCTTCACTGAGATAAATAGTTCTTCAGTCCATGCTGGAAACAGTTATAAAAAACTACTGTGCACTACTGGTGTATTTCTACTTTTCTCCTGTCTCATTACTAAATCTTTCTTTTAAAAAAAATGCATACTTTAAAGTCAACTGGAAGAGTTTTTGGATAATAATAATAACTGATAGTTATATTGCACTTTAAAATTTGCAAAGAACTTTATAAAGTCATTTATTATTATGCCCTTACTAAGAACAATCCTATTCTTAATCTTACTCTTCTTTCTCTTCATCTAGTATTCTTACCCTTCTTTCTCCATTCAACATTTATCTCCACTGTCCAAGCAGGCTGATCTTTTTATACTTTCATTTTATCCTTTCCCTCCAGGCAGCCTAATCCCTTTAACTTCCTATTTGCTTCTGTCTTGCCCTGCCCACGCTTGTCCATAAAACTTTATTGCAGCTCTATATGAATGGAACTAATCATTGTTTGCCTATTTACATTTCATTCCAATTGTGCTCTCCATAAGATCTAATATCCTAATGAAACAAATTCACTCTGGTTTGTTTAATCTAACTAAACTCCCCTCCTACCACCCAACCCAGATTTTTAATTTTATCTATCCTTCATTGATTTTAAAAGTAAACTCAGTACTTTAGAGTCCTTAAAAAAAATCTTTGCCCTCACATTTCAGATGAACTCTTCATTTCTAAATGCACCTATTTGTTGCCTATTCTGTTACATTTCACTTAAAAAAATCTTATTTTTCCTCTTATACCCCGGCCCTCAATATATAGACAATGGTTGATGATTAGGATATTATCTTTAGAAAAATTATGGACCATCTTTTACCCTCATTTTGTTGTCCTTTCCTAATTTCTATGCATATTGGCTCACCCAGCCTTAGATAAGCAGGGGAAGAAGAAGGAAATCATAATATTGCTTTTCGGTGGTAGTACTTATAAAGCTTTGGCTACAGAAGTACTTTTCAATAAAAATTTCTGAGATTCCTGTCCCCTTCCCTCTCCCCACTCCCTGCCTCCACAACCATGGTTTACCATCTTTTATTCTCTTTGAGAGGAAGCTTGGCATAGTCAAGTCATGCCTCTGACATACTGGTTATATGACCCTTGACAAAGTTGCTTTGTCACTAGTCAGTGCTCCAGGAAGTTCTCTCAGACTGCAAGCTGCAGAGAAGGTGCTGATCTTCACTGGTAACAGGAGTCCTCACCTGCAAGTTCCTTACACCAATGAAATCCCAGGTGCAGTCTCTATCCCTCCATCATTATCACCTTTCTGAAATTTTTTTTTCTTCCTTTGGCACAGCAGTGTGATATAGGGGAATGGTCACCAAGCTTAAGGTGAGGAGACTGGGGTTTGAATCCTGTCACTGAAATAAATTTCCACATCTGCAAAAAATGGGGCAGTAATAATACTTGTACTATCTGCCTTGTATTGTGATTATCAGAAAAGTTTTGTCAGTTTAGAGTGCTACAGAAATGTAAGTTGTTATTACAGATACTGAACCAAGAGCTGATTATATAACACAACTAGGCTTTTTTCAGCCTAACCTGCTATATGCTCAAAGAGCAGTCTTGTGCTTCAGCATTCATTATAGAGACAGGCTGTAGAGAAGTCTACAGCAGAATTTGTCTTGGCTTGTCAATCATTTAGAACTCTTTAAAGGCTGGTGTTTCTTTCAGACTGTGTTTGAGGACAGGGTGGTGGCAATGGCTTACACTGCAATGTGTTTGTAAACTTCCCTCACAGGAGCTGTGGGGCTTTAAAAATGACATTATAGAGAGATTGGACCTGAAGGTGGCTTGGCCAGGTCAGGAGCTTCTCAAAGTAATCCCTTTGGATGCTGAAGAGAGGCAGTTTCAGTAAAAGTGCCCCCAAGTTACCTATTGCTGAGGACCAGACCAAATGTAGCACAATAACCTCATTGAATGATTCCAGGGTGAGATGCATGAAAACATTCTTTCAGTCAATGGGAACCTGATTTCCCAGCTTTTTTATTTCCTCCAAAATGCTATAATATTCATGATTCTTACAGCCCCATCCTCAATAGAAAAAAAGGTCTAGAAGGAGAATGAGGAAAAACACAAACACAGGTGTTTGTGTGCACACCCTTGTGTGTGCAAACACACACACAGATGCATTGCAACAACAAATTCTTTCTTTGCAGATCTCATTGCATTAACCAGTAAGGCCAGAATCAAGTAACTGAACTTTAATTCTTTTACAAGTCCCTTTCTTTTTCCCCTTAAGATAATATAATGCCTACGTACCACAGATTCTTAGGAAGACAGCTTCCCACCTAATGATTTGGTATTGAAAGTTCAGCTCTCTCATTGATGAAATGAATATTAGTGGTATTCACTCTTGAATACATTTGGAGTCCCTGATACTATTCACATTAACTGCAAAAGGCATATAAATATCTCTTATCTCTTCCTATTTCACTTTTTTATTTTTCTGAGGGGAACTTGACAAATTAAATTTGGAGTAGGGTTTGTTTTTTTTTTTGGCTTAGGTTTTCATTTAATATGTATTTTGAGTTAGCTACTCGACTGAAAAAAAAATCCTTCAACAATAACAACCAAAAATAAAACATTCCTACCATTGGAATAAAAAAAAAATCTGGTTATGCCAGTAGCCAACTCAGGTATGTTTTGGATGTATATTAGATTATGATTCCTTAAGAAGGGAATGTTCTCATTTGTTGTGGCCCATTGTTAACATTTACTGCCATTCTACATTTGTTCAGAAATCACTATGATTTGGGGGCAGCCAAGAAGGAGGTAGGTTGGAAACTTGTGATTTCATCAAGAGGAGAACTTGAGGTATGGAAACTCCTTCCACTTGTTCATATTAAGAACTCTTATGTAACTTTTAGAGAACTGCATGAGGCACAGAAAAGGTAGTGACTCCCTTGCAGTCACTTTGCCAGTGTGTGTCAGAACAGGCACTAGAATCCAGGTCTTTGTGACTCCAAGACTGATCCTCTATTGTACCAGGGCTGCTTCTCCAAATTATTGTAAGAATTAAGCCAACTTCTTCAACAACCAAAGTGGATAAGCTACTCTGAGGACTTCTGTGAGGTATGACTCTAGTCATACTTTTAAGTTCCTATAGAATGTGCCAGAAGAGATCATTTTTTAGGTAATGAAATGATACAGTGGGAAGTTACACCTACAAAGTTGTTTGCCAAGCCTGGCTCTTCAAAGAACCAGGGCTGAGTAATGGTATTCAACATAAATTGGTTGTCTTTGCAACTAGTCAGCTTGGGTTATGATGGTAGGGTACTAGGCAGGGACTGGACTAGTGGGAAGGATCAAGGGTCAGGTAGATTTAGCTTATCATTTTTTTCAGTATCCCCAGAACAAAGGGGAAAAATGGAAGGGCCTGCTATTCTTAGGATTATAGTTTTAGGAAGATACTCTTTATATCATGGGCCCAAGACTGAACCTTACACTGTTGTTAGATGAGGGATACAAAAATTCTAGTCCAGGAGGTTCCCTTATCATTAAATGTCCTCTGTCTTCAAATTAGCTAACTTAGGAGGTACTTTTAAATAGAAGGTCCCCTGCCAGGACCAGGGCTCTCCTTTACAAAACTATAGTCGAACTGCTGCTAGGTGGCAAAGTGAATAGAGTGCCAGCCCTGGAGTAAAGAGGACCTGAGTTCAAATCTGGCCTCAGACCCTTACTAGTGATGTGACCCTGAGCAAATCACTTAACCCTGTTTGCCTTAGTACCTCATCTATCAAATGAGCTGGAGAAAGAAATGGCAAACTGCTTCAGTATCTTTGAAACCTCAAATGGGGTCCCAGAGAGTCAGACATGACTGAAACAACTAAATAACAACAAACTACTGACAGAATCGAGTGAATTGCACTGAGTTTATCTAGTGACTTAATTCTGGGTCTAGCTCGGTTCCCTTTTTATTCCATTATGGATCTAGTCCAATTTCTATCTTATGAGAAAACTTTATTCAATTATGGAAATTGTGAGACAATTTTATTGCACTTTTTGAACCTAGCCCTGCGTGTCTGGGAAGCTGGACCTCTACTTGTGGCTTAGAGACCTTTAACTAAGGACCTGCGTTATGCTGACCAGAAACCCAGTCAAATCCAAAGAT